GTGACGCTAAGTGATAACGTTGACCTCTCAGGCCAAGAAAATACTTTACAAAGTAAATGATACCTATAAAATCATTAAACTCGCCTTTTTTTATTGATAAAAAATGTTTCTTCTTGTTCTAATTTGAAATCTTTGCCCACACAACACTGCCTAACGCTAAAAAGGCCATTGATTTAGTTTCGAAAGCATACTACTCGAAGCACCAAGCGATCTGCACATGCGCGTACTTATGATACCTAGACTGATGCATTCCGATGAGATCACAGATACCACATTTGTAAACGAATAGGTTTTTTGTCATATAAAAGCGCGAGTAGCATATAACATTTACTAACGATATTCGTACATCAATACGTTTGAGCTTCCGGTCATGTAATAACACAGCCAACCAAATAGTTAATTATTAAATTCTTAACTTCCGGTGGTCCAAACGCGACATAATAGATAGATAGATAGATAGATAGATAGATAGATAGATAGATAGATAGTAGTAGTATAACAAGCTTTATTGGCATGACCATTAATACAGGTATTGCTAAAGCATATAACAAAACATACAATATTAATTAAATATGACATTCACATTTTCGATCATTAAAACTAAGTTATTCGATATAACGGTAATTGAGATAATTATTGTTGACAATCGGTGTTCATAATGCTAATTAATATAATTTGTTTACAATCATAGATAATTTGTTTTCTCTTAATTGCATACATTGATAAATATACTTTGACAGTTGTAATAGTACGGTTTGATCATCTGAATTAAACAAGATTTTTGTACAATTTTTCATTTCAATATCAGTTTTTGGAACTTTCAAGTTTACATTTTTGAAGAAATCATGGCGTAAATCACTGTACATTATACATTTATAAAGAAAATGCTCCTCTGACTCAATTAAGCTATTGTGACAAAAGATACAAAATCTTTGATCAGCTTGTATCTTTTGTTTTGAATAACGCCCAGTTTCAATAGCTAACTGGTGATTACTAATTCTTAATTTAGTAAAAAGTTTTCTATGTTCAAAATTTGAAACTAGTTGTAAATATTTTTCTTCTTCGTATTTCTTGTTAAATGATTTATAAAATTCTAATTTCGTTGATTTATCTATGGTATGCTTCCATAAATGTATATATTTAGTTTTCATTGTATTGTGAAATTCTTCAATTCTTGTGTTTGATAACGGCTTTAGTAAAGCTATTTGATGGTTGAGATCATAACCGTCCAGAATTTTAGATAGATTCATTAAATAACACGGTTTTTGCTTATCATACAAATACTTAGACATAAGTAAAGCTTGCTTTGTTATCGAGTTTTCGGGTAAGCTAAGAATATGATTCAAGTATTTCAAAATTAATTTCTCGATAAATATTCTTAAAGGAAATCTAGCTAGTTCAGCTCTACAGGCATTATTGGATGCTTTGCTGTTCACACCCAGAAAATACTTGCARAATCGAAGGTGAACTTTCTCAATTGGAGTTTTATCCCATTTTTCGAAATTACTTAATATTTGATAGACTCCCCATACCTCAGAAGCATAGGTAAGTATTGGGGAAATTAAGGAAGTGAAAAGTTTATTAGCCTGTTCCGGTTGAAGTTTTCGAAAATCAACTATTCGTGTTACTTTGTAAAATGCATGTAAAGCTTTCTCTCTTGCCTGTGATAAATGATTGGAGAAATTTCCAGTGGAACTAATGTTTACGCCTAAGTAGTTGTAATTTTGGGTAATTTCAAGTTCATTGTTGTTTAACGTCAACTTTRGCGCAAGTTTTAGTTTTTTCTTACTGAACACCATTACTTTTGATTTCTTTTCATTTATGGTCATTTGCCATTTTGTACAAAATTTATTTACAGAATTTATAGAGTTTTGTAATCCTTCTTTTGATTTTGATRAAAGTACTAGATCATCTGCATATAAAAGAGATGTAAGTCTTTTCCTGTTTGGTAGAATAATTGSGTCAGTTCGTAAGGTTTTGTCAAGATSAGAAGACATTTCATTTAAGTATAGATTAAATAAGAGAGGACTTAAAATACAACCTTGGCGAACACCACGCATATAATTGAAACTCTTTGTTCGCTGAGAACCTATTTTAACAAAACATGTAGATTTTGAGTATAAGTTTTTTATAAGATGATAAAATTGACCATTTATGTTGTATTTAAGCAGTGTTAATAGTAAACCCTCATGCCAAATGGAATCAAAAGCCTTTTTAAAGTCAATAAAGCATGCATAAACTTTTCCACTACTAACATTAGTAACATAACGATCAATGATACAACGTAAGGTGAAGATATGATCAGCAGTTCTACAGTTTGGTAAAAAACCTATTTGAGAGTTATGTAGTAAGCTATTTTTCTGAATGAATTTCAGTAGTCTTTGATTTAAAATTACTGTAAAAAATTTTCCTAGGCAACTCGAAACGCAGATTCCTCTATAGTTACTTGGGTCTGAACGATTACCATTTTTGAAAATTGGTGTTAACGAGCTCACACACCATGCGTCTGGAAAGGTGCCTGAACTTAAAATAAGGTTAAAGAGTTTAACATATACTGGACACATTACATCAATACTGTGTTTTAACATTTCATTCCGTATTCTGTCGGATGAAGCTGCTTTCCTGTTTTTTAGTAGTTTTGAACAAGTTATAATTTCTTTTTCAGATATTTCATCATTGAGAAAAGAATTAAATTGAGTGTTACATGATTCCATTTGTTGTAATTTCTGTTGAAGTAACCTTTGTTCTTCAGAGAGCTGTCTTTTTGAATGCAAAGCAGTAAAATGATCAATCCATTTTTGCTCAGGTATGGGAGGGGCAGTGTTTTCAGAAACTTCATCAGTACATGAGATTAAGATTTTCCAAAAATCAGTATTTTTTGAATTCTTCACTAATTCTTTTAATTTAGTGTCATGAAAATTGCGTTTCTTTAATTTAAG